ATAATAAAGCTACATTTATCATTAAGACAACACCCGCCGACTCGTTTCGGTAGTGTTGATATACGATATGCTGGTGTGATACACGTGAGTGGTAACCCTGATAAATAAAAGTATTGAAATTTTCCTTCCCACATATTCAGGACTCTGAAGCACCGACCTTAACTATATTTAGACAGTTGAGTTCTCTCAGGATACTCTTAACCCAGAGAATAGTTAACCCAGAGCGCACAGACTGTAAACTGCATGCTCCTTACGTTATTTTGTTTTGTTATCTTTTATGTAATTATGTTCCCATGACTTCTGTGTTTTACCGGTTATTTGGATTACGCTGACAGCGTGACACATGCGTACTGGTTTCTGCTATATTTCTATCCTCTCCTGGAATAGCAGGTAAATAAAGTACTAAACAAAATAAAATGCACAACGCGGTTTCATGTGTTTTTTTTTCTTTCTTACAGGGAACACCTATCCTTTTAATTACCATATATAGGTTTTCCCGTTCTAAGAAAAAAACACGTGCATAAGCAGCAATAAAAATTTGAACAATAGTTTGTTTGTTTTATCTAGAAACTATAAATCACTTGTGCACATTTCTAGGCAACCAAGCATCATCTAAAAGTACAAGCTTGTGGCATCTGCATTTGATTGATTTGTGGGGTTTAACGTCCCAAAACCACCATATGATTATGAGAGACGCCGTAGTGGAGGGCTCCGGAAATTTAGACCACCTGGGGTTCTTTAACGTGCACCCAAATCTGAGCAGACGGGCCTACAACACTTCCGCCTCCATCGGAAATGCAGCCGCCACAGCCGGGATTGGATCCCGCGACCTGCGGGTCAGCAGCCGAGTACCTTAGCCACTAGACCACCGCGGCGGGGCCGGCATCTGCATTTAACGTTCGGATTTTGCTCAATCACTATGAACAGATATCTTAGTCGGTTAGTTTTCGTGTGCGTGTGCTTCCAACTTTCTTTCATTTCGACAGGCTTACGGCTTGATGCTGTACGAGACCACCGCCCCCTCCAAAGTGGGGGCGTCCCCGCTTCTGAAGGTGCCCGGAATACGGGATCGAGGCTATATCTACGTCGATGACGTAAGTTACCGCGTGAGTCTTGCACAGCTTACACAGCTTGCACATCGTTCATGATAAAAGAAGGTAGTTGTCGCATACATAGGGGCGCGCAGGGTTCCGCATCAGGGGGAGGGGGGGGGTGAAAGTTTATTCAAGTAAGTGCATTCGTCGCCTTCCTTAGTAAATAGTATGGAACCACATTTTGCGCACCCCACCCTTCATAGGTGATTAGGGGAGGGAGGGCGCTCCCTTTCTGCACGCCTGCCCACCCACGTGAGAGCACGCAGCCCGACTTGTCATCCGCCACACGGGGGTTCTAAGCGGATATCAGGCACTTCTTTAACCATATATGTCCAAGCTTAGGAAAATTAACAAAAATCATATAGTTCTACGAAATTATTGCTTCTGCCGACCTCATAAAACAGAATAAGGCTTTTATTTGGTTTAACTCTTTCGAAACAATGGTCTTGAAGCCGTCCTATATGTAGGACCCCCATGTTGACACACCACGAACAAAAAAATTAGCGCCTATCACTGTCATACGAACGTACATGCACCACTCGATAACCGAAAGAACAATCGACACAAAATATCAGCAGTATCCGAACAAGTAAACTGTTTATTACTTATATCTTTTTTTTTTCGTGGTATGGCGCTCAGCTACAGGCACGCGAAATAGCCATTTTGTGACTGCAAATATGTGGCTATTTGTAGCACAAATAATCAGCTAAACTACCATGTGACGAGGACGGGACATCATAAGCACACCTTAGGTGGCGCTACCTTTTCACATAAAAAACATTCGACTTATTGAGAAAGGTCTCAGTGTCCTACAAGTAGGACCATGGGCGGGCATGGTTAAGCAAGTGCATCGGTGGCTGGCGAATGCGTATGCTACCACTGCAACTAATAACTGAGTTGCCCGAGAATGTGAATGCGCGTCGAAATTCGATCAATTTGCAATGTTATATTGGCACAAGAATAAGGACACGTTGCTTGTGGTAGAGGCCCAGCATGTCGATGGAAGTGCTAGAGCATGCGCGAGCCAGTTGTCGATTAACATGTATTATTGCAAATGCTGTTGGGCTTGTTATGTTCGCGTCTTGAGTTCACATTCGGCCGCATGTGTTGTTATCATTAGACATATGTGCATTTGTTTTCTTTTTCTTTTTTTCATTTCGGTTGTCAAGTGAAACGATGCAATGTGTAACATTGTAATGTGATGTACCCACTCCTGCCATGGCTCCCAAAAGGCAGCCGGCAGTATCTGATAAAAAAAATAGAAACTGGCATAAGGAGAGTAGAAATTCCCGACAAGTTATCTCTCGAGTATAACCCCCTCCTCCTCCTTATTCTGTCGTGCTGGATTAACAAGTAGCGCTCCACGCCTGCGCACGCGCAGGGAAGTTATTGCGTTCTTGCGGAGAAGTTGATTCCTTTCCGCCGCAGAGCGCCTCTTCAGTTGATAGTCAGCGTTCCTGTTGTCTTCGTCTCATCTTTTGGGTCCGTGTCTGCGCGGCCAGGTTCGTTTATCGGAAAACCATGCATATACCAACTTGTTCAACTTCTTATCATTCTTCGTATTTTGTGCAGCGCTTGCTTTATCAACCAGGGCTTCCCGCAGTTGCTTGCACCTGTGCTTGGTGTTTGGAAAATTTCCTGAACTTTTTTTTAAAGACAGAGTTGTGAATCGGGCGATGTTGGTTATCTATGAACTTGACCTGTATTAGCGCGGCACATATGAAAATAAAAGGGGGAAAGACGACAGAGACGTCTGGAAAGATAGGCGCTCAAGTTACGTCACTGGTTGCACATCGTTCATGATAAAAGAAGGTAGTTGTCGCATACATAGGGGCGCGCAGGGTTCCGCATCAGGGGGAGGGGGGGGGTGAAAGTTTATTCAAGTAAGTGCATTCGTCGCCTTCCTTAGTAAATGTATGGAACACATTTTGCGCACCCCACCCTTCATAGGTGATTAGGGGAGGGAGGGCGCTCCCTTTCTGCACCGCCTGCCCACCCACGTGAGAGCACGCAGCCCGACTTGTCAATCCGCCACACGGGGGTTCTAAGCGGATAATCAGGCACTTCTTTAACCATATATGTCCAAGCTTAGGAAAATTAACAAAAATCATATAGTTCTACGAAATTATTGCTTCTGCGACCTCATAAAACAGAATAAGGCTTTTATTTTGTTTAACTCTTTCGAACAATGGTCTTGAAGCCGTCCTATATGTAGGACCCCCATGTTTGACACACCACGAACAAAAAACATTAGCGCCTATCACTGTCATACGAAAGTTACTGCACACTCGATAACCGAAGAACAATCGACAAAAATATCAGCAGTATCGATAACAAGTTAACTGTACATTACTTATATCTTTTTTTTCTTTTTCGCGGTATGGCACTCAGCTACAGGCACGCGAAATAGCCATTTTGTGACTGCAAATATGTGGCTATTTGTAGCACAATAATCAGCTAAACTACCATGTGACGAGGACGGGACATTATAAGCACACCTTAGGTGGCGCTACCTTTTTCACATAAAAAACATTCGACTTATTGAGACAGGTCTCAGTGTCCTACAAGTAGGACCATGGGCATATATGGTTAAGCAAGTGCATCGATGGCTGGCGAATGCGTACGCTACCACTGCAACTAATAACTGAATTGCCCGAGAATTGAATGCACGCCGAAATTCGATCAATTTACAATGTTATATGGGCACAAGAATAAGGACACGTTGCTTGTGGTATAGGCCCAGCATGTCGATGGAAGTCCTAGAGCATGCGCGAGCCAGTTGTCGATTAACATGTATTATTGCAAATGTGTATTATTGCAAATGCTGTTGGGCTTGTTTTTTTATGTTCGCGTCTTGAGTTCACATTCGGCCGCATGTGTTGTTATCATTAGACATATGCGCATTTGTTCTGTTTTTCTTTCTTTTTTTTTTATTTCGGTTGTCAGCTGAAACGATGCAATGTGTAACATTGTAATGTGATGTACCCACTCCTGCCATGGCTCCCAAAAGACAGCCGGCAGTATCTGATAAATAAAAAAATAAAAACTGGCATAAGGAGAGTAGAAATTCCTGACAAGTTATCTCTCGAGTATAACTCCCTCCTCCTCCTCCTCCTCATTCTGTCGTGCTGGATTAACAGGTAGCGCTCCACGCCTGCGCACGCGACGGGGAAGTTATTTCGTTCTTGTGGAGAAGTTAATTCTTTTCCGCCGCAGAGCACCTCTTCAGTTGATAATCAGCGTTCCTGTTGTCTTCGTCTCTTCTTTTGGGTCCGTGTCTGCGCGGCCAGGATCGTTTATCAGAAAACCATGCATATACCAACTTGTTCAACTTCTTATAATTCTTCGTATTTTGTGCAGCGCTTGCTTTATCAACCAGGGCTTCCCGCAGTTGCTTGCAGCTGTGCTTGGTCTTTGGAAAATTTCCTGAACTTTTTTTTAAAGAAAGAGTTGTGAATCGGGCGATGTTGGTTATCTATGACCTTAGCCTGTATTAGCGCGGCACATATAAAAATAACATGCGATAACATCACCACGCATGTTATTCCTGCCATCGAGTGCTCAAGCAAAGAGGAAACACCTACCTATCTTGAACGAGCATGATGGGGATGCGAAGGAGGGGGGGGGGGGGGGGGGGAGTCGCTGAGCTGCACCTGTGAACTTCAATTTTAAGAACGCTGGCGCGCGCTTACTCGGCAGGCATTAGTGGTTTTTAGCCAGCTACGGAAACACGTTACGGAAAGGCGGCAACATAGAACCAGCTGACGAGTGCGCATGCGCGACCATTGTACGCGCATACGGAAAGAAACCGTGTCGTATTTCCGTAAAGTGTTTCCGTAGCTTGCTAAAAGCCTCTATTAACGCGGACGGCTCGTATGCCCTTTTTTACGTGCTGCGCTCTGAGCACCATGAGACTGTGCAAAAATATAACTCGCTGTAACGGCCGTATTCTCTTACATCGGCGTTCTTTAGAGTTAGGTGATATCGTATCCAAAAGAGTTGGCTCGAATCGAATAATGTCGCAATTTGTTGCTATCTCATTCACTGATTCGCCCTTGTGGCGAAACTGTGATTTTACTTCTTCAATAAGGAGAGAGGCACTCCGACATTGCTGTCGTTGGCATTGGTATACTCATATCTCGAGAACGTGGCGTCTTTTATATATCTCTTCTCCTCTCTTCACTATCCCTTGCCAGGCATTTCCTTTATACTGACTGCGTAAATTTCAGAATGCCCGCGACGATGCAAAAGGAGCAAGAGCCCGTTTTGTGAGATAACGTCATCTATACTTGGCGAAAATTTTTGTTATGTGATAACTTGAAACGATCTTCCCTGGCCAGTGGCCCTTTTAAGTGACCAAGCATTCAGGGGTTTTTTTAATCTGAATTTTTTCCAGGTGTTCAAGGCCATCATTTCCCGTAGCGACCAGTTGTTCGAAGCCATCATCGAGATAAAAACCGGACAGAGGCTGTCCATCCTCGTGGAGAACCAGGGCCGCATAAACATGGGAGCTATCGTCGACCCCAAGGTCAGTTGTTGTGAATGTGTATAGCTCTGAAGTATGAACGCATCTTATCGCTTGGCGATCCACAAGCTTACGTACCGTCCCAAGCTGTCCCGAACGGAAGCCAACTAACACGATGACCCAGAAGGAATGCCTCGCAATGGTATGAGCAGTCCTGAAATTTTTCCCGTATTTGTACGGTCGCTCGTTCACAGTTATCAGCAATCGTCATTCGCTCTGTTGGTTAATGAATTCGAAAGACCCATCCGGCCGTCTCGCACACTGGAGTCTTCGGCTCCAAGAGTTGTGCTTTGTTACCTATAAATCAGGAAGCCGGCTTGCTGATGCCGACTGTCTTAGCAGGCAATTAAGTGATCCTGAGGAAGGATCAATAAATTGCCTCCTATATGTTTAGGGTGTGGGCTGAGTATTTTTTTATATCACAATAAAAAATGTCTTTTTCGGTCTCCTGTTGAAACAGAAGACCAAGACGACGACATAGTTTTTTTGGGCGTTGTGGACACTGCCACTTTTTCACAACAACAGCGGAACGGCGCTAAAGAGCTTTACCGCTCACTCATTCCCTCGAAAGACTAACCAATAGCACGCCGAAATTATTTACAACGGGGGTGGCATCGTACTGCTTGCGCAGAGACGTACTCCATAAGAAAAGCTTCCCACTTGTAGTGGCACCAGCTACTCACTCGTCATTTCCTCATCGCTCCGACGTGAGGTCTTCCACGCCTACCACAAGCCGACCGCTGGTCACTTGGGCTACATCCGGGCATTGACAAGGATTAGATGAAACTATTACTCGCCGAGACTTGACACGGGCGTGAAAACTTACGTGCGAACTTGTAAAAACTGCCAACGCCGCAAACCTCCACCCGTCAAGCCAACTGGCCTGTTGCATCCTGTTCAAGTGTCGAGGACACCATTTTCACATATCGGCATAGATTTTCTGGGCCATTTTCCAACGTGTACTACCAGAAATAGTAGATAGTCGTCGCCAGCGATTACCTCGACCTTTAAAGTTAAGGTAACCTCACCTATTACCTTAACTATAGAATATGACGAATTACCAACTAGCCGAACAACAAGTTCTAATTAGCGAATGCACGTTTGTCAGGCAAGACCAGCTAGGCACGGAGAGTCCGCTCGTATGGCACCCGTGACACGTGTTTCACGCTGCCTGTGGGGTCGACATACATATTGTGTGGTAACAATATATACTTAGAATATCGGAGTCGAGCTTGGCTGGGGCCTGGCGTGTCGATAATAGTGGTATAGAGCATGCGTGAACCAACCGTATAAACTTACATGAAGAAGAAATCAAGTGCCTGTTGAGAACGTTGTCGCTAAACATAGAGTGTAACAGTCGTATGCGTTCTGTCTGCATGTATAGGAAAAATAAAAACTGCCATCGTTTTACGTTTCAAAAATAACGATATGATGGAGACGCGCCGTAGTGATTTCAGAAACTTAGACCATTCGGGGTTTTTTAACGTGCACCTAAATCTAAGCAGACGTGCCTCTTGAATGTTGGCTCCAACCAGAATGTTCCCACCGCAATCAGTAATCAATCCGGAGACCAGTAACGGGTCAGCAGGCAGGCGCCGTGACCACTAGATCACTGAAGCGGATGCCCATACCAAACGGATGCCCATAAGACAACCCGATCATGGCGAGCGTACTCAGAGATATGCATCAGCTTAGTGCGCAGCCTAACAAATAAATATGGCGTCGTCTGTATCGGTTATTTGATTACCGAGTAAATCATAGGGGGGTAATCAGCAAATCACATACGGCAAACCTGTAAGCAGCCACGGGGTAACATGAATGTCCCGGATTTGTTTCTCTTTTTTTTTTCTATCGACAGGGCATTGTAGAAAATGTAACTATCGAATCCATGGTCCTGAAAAAATGGACGATGCGGCCCATCAACCTCGCCCAAGGCAGTTGGCTTCGGGACTACAGGTCACTCAAGCAGCTTGTAGACCCACGGGAGCCAGTCACGAACAAAGGATTTGCGGTGTTCGCGGCCGATTTCAGGCTGCCGGAAGGCAATCGCATCTACGACACCTTCCTTCTCATCCAGATGTTTAAAAAGGTGCGTGTCTATTTAACGTCTCAACGACTGCCGCATAAATGGCGCAAGGGCAAACAAAACTGGAATGTTACCTTGCGTGAAGTTAGCAGCTAACTGCTTTATCATCTGATCTACGGTAAGTCAATGAGATGCTGACGTAATGAAATGCTGCTGCTGTACCGAGTGGGTGCTACCTATATGGCTTCAACCCAAAAAAAATTCGGTAGATCCCACGTACCTGGGAATCGACGTTATGCGAAGCATTCGGAGGGAAAGTCGCCGTATTGCAATTTCTTTTTATTGAGCGACACGTCATGAAATGACGCTAAATATATGTACAAATGTTGCACGCACAGACATATGTTGAAGAGTTGCAGATGTTTATATAACCACTTGTTTGACACTTGCGCAACGATGCCAATTAGAACATGCGTATCAGCAACACCAGAAGCTGATGTGAAGCGCTGATGCTCGCGAGCATGCTGGCCCTAGACACTGCTACATAAGTCAACTTCAGAGCATGGGAACTAACCACAATTGACGTTAACCCAACGTGACGGCTGTATCGAAGGGGTACATATGTAAAGTTTATAAAATTGTGTAGGTAGCAGTGCAATCACCATTGACGTTCAAGAAGATTGGCGTCTATTTGATCGATCGATATGTGGGGTTTAACGTCCCAAAACCACTATATGATTATGAGAGACGCCGTAGTGGAGGGCTCCGGAAATTTAGACCACCTGGGGTTCTTTAACGTGCACCCAAATCTGAGCACATGGTTGGCGTCTATTTGAAAAGTAGTTCCGAGATCTGGCACTGCTCTGTCGTGCAATGCTTCATTGCTACGCAGAATGCTTGGGTTCAATTTCAGCTGGCACTCTGACATTTATTTTTCGAATTCGTTGGGTAGACGTTACCGATGTCAGGTATTGCCCATGTGTGTTCTCGTGGCACATACCCGCGCCACTGTCTGGCGGGAAGTGTTTGACGACGTATGCGACGGGACTGTGACAATATTCGAGTCCTGACCAGCGCGACATATTCGTGAAACCATGCTTACCCTCCCATGCTAACTTTGTTTCACGCCAAATTAAGGGGGTGACCACGGGAGCACCCAAACGTAAGCAGATGGATGGATGGATGGATGGATGGATGGATGGATGGATGGATGGATGGATGGATGGATGGATGGATGGATGGATGGATGGATGGATGGATGGATGGATGGATGGATGGATGGATGGATGGATGGATGGATGGATGGATGGATGGATGGATGGATGGATGGATGGATGGATGGATGGATGGATGGATGGATGGATGGATGGATGGATGGATGGATGGATGGATGGATGGATGGATGGATGGATGGATGGATGGATGGATGGATGGATGGATGGATGGATGGATGGATGGATGGATGGATGGATGGATGGATGGATGGATGGATGGATGGATGGATGGATGGATGGATGGATGGATGGATGGATGGATGGATGGATGGATGGATGGATGGATGGATGGATGGATGGATGGATGGATGGATGGATGGATGGATGGATGGATGGATGGATGGATGGACGGATGGACGGATGGACGGATGGACGGATGGACGGACGGATGGATGGATGGATGGATGGATGGATGGATGGATGGACGGACGGACGGACGGACGGACGGACGCGCTCAATGTTACCGAAGTTCGCTAAGAAATTCTCCGCATTAACAAGCAGATTTAAACGCAGAACGGACAAAGGATGAGCCATTGAGCCATCTACCAATCCCTGTCAAGGTTATGGTGCGCACGACAGTGGGCGCCCTCCCGAATTCTCGGCTGAGTTGTATTCCTTGTTGGTTAGTTGCTTTTCATATTCCATATCTGGCGCCACTTGACGAGGCGGCACATATATATATGACTCACGCTCGCTGCGCTTTCGCGTAACCGTAATACTACATACAAGCTTCAATGCAATGTAAAAACTATTTCGACGTGTTATTTGTTCCCGTTACATAAGGAGTAACGCAGAGCACAGCCCGGTGACTGTTTCTGCAGTTTTGTTTCAAGCTGTCCTCGTGTCTACTCTTCCAGGGTACTGCCTTTCTGAACGGCTTTAATCTGGGCCGTTACTGGACATCGGCGGGCCCGCAGAAAGCTCTGTACGTGCCGTCGGTGCTATTCAGGAAGGGCGCCAACCTGCTCCTGCTGCTGGAACAAGAAGCTGTCCAGTGCAACTCCAGCCGATCCAGGCCGTGCACAGTGGACTTTGTGTCCAGTCGACACTTCGATGGGCCACTGCACTGGTCTGTCTAATAAAAGGGTGCTCCCTACAGAAACCATCGCAACAGATTTCTTACAAAAGGTTCACAGGCAATAAATATATATATATACATTGATGCCTAAATTTAAGGATCGTCGTGGTGCGACAAAATGTTTTAACGCGATAAGCTGGCGTCTGCAATGACTGTTGAGCTCATGCATACGCCACTAACATTGTTGTGACACAACCGTTGTGACACCGCCATCGTTCATAGAACGGAACTAATGTTGAATTCCAATGGCAGATGCAGATCAAGTTTTTCTGCCCAGAGCGGAGCAATCACATTCCAATGGTGGATTGGGAGCGTGAATTGTGTGTTCCAAAGGCAAATTAAGAGCAACCACAGATCACGGATTGCTCCGTGAAGCAAGAATTCTTGCTCCGCCGAAGTTAGCGAATTTGACCGGAAGTTCAAGTGACTTATGGTCTCTTCGTTTTGGCTGCACCGGCTGAACCAGTTCAAAGGGTGCAGCACCTTCGTCCTCGTTTTGCCGGAGCAGCGCGCGCCCTCTGTCGCACCCTCTGCACTGGCTCCCTCGTTTTGTCTAGGTGTAAGCCTAGTTCCTGACGAGTTCTGTACCGGCGTGCACGCACTCCAAAGCAGGTGCAGAGTAGTGCAGCATGGCGGGCGTCCCCCCAAGGCCAGAGCAGACGACGTTGCAAATAGTTGTTCAGGGCGTTCAAAAGGAAGTTAAGGCACTTCACAATCCCGACGGGTCATTTATGACGGACGCCAACGGTTACGTCTATGAGGCATCAGGTAAGTCAGGCTGCATGCATTGCCAAAAAACGTGGTTAGCGGCCAGGAGTCGTAGTCGGTCAGCAAACAGCCTCGTAGCATTGCTTATGCTATGTCGGTATTTTTAATCTTGGTTTTCGCCCTTGCAGACGGCAAGCGCGTTACGTTGCGGTTCATGGCAGGGAATCGTGAAAATGACCCCCCTCCGGCACAACCGCCGACGCCTTCTCCTGCCTGCGACGGCGACGTTGACAGCGATGGGGCTTTAGCCGCATTTCCAGCAGCAGCCGCGTCGGCTGAAGATGTGGAAGAGCTTTGGAGCGCCCGAAAAACAAGGTTCTTCATCGCCAAATACTCGGAAATGAAGGACTTGGTGGGAAAAACCAGGGCACTTCGGTATGTCATCCTATGTCCAAAATTATTTGCAGCTTTTTATTATTCCGTTTCACTCTAGGCAAGCACCAACAAGATAAGGGCGCATGAAGTTCACAATGGCGATGGTTATTGTTGCCTACATTTTACTGCCAGCAATTTACATTTTACTGCCCCCCCCCACTGAAAAAAAATTTTGGCTATGCGCCTGACTGTGACATATACGTTTACATATACACACAAACAGTATGTATAGTCACGCACATATATACACAACGAAGGCATTCGTAATGTTTCATTAAGTCAAGTGATCTTCAAAAACAGCGACGGTGCTTTTGTGTTGGGCATTGCACAACCGCTGTCTTGCCGAAAAGGTGCAGCACCTCCAAGCTCAAGCCATGTTGCAAGTGTAGTGCTGCCTTGAGAATTTGCACTAGAGGGAATTGCATGTTGTTATTCTGAGGCACATCTCTAGCAAGTCTCGCCCTGCAGTCCTTGTGTCTTCACTGTCTGTCCGCATTTCTCTCGCACTGCCACTTTTCAAGATGGTGCAGCTCATTGTTAAAAGAGATATGCTTCTTGACACGTGCTACCCTATCTTTGAACCTAGACTGCGCCGTCGTGTCAGCAAACAAGGTTGCGCAGCTGCATGTTTTACAATGCAAAGACAGGTTAGAATATGGCTGTCTCCTTAGTGAAGCTTTATGATCCAAAAGAGTGATTTACACAATGTTCAACTTCTCCAACATAATGCTTCCCGCACAAAAAGAACGTTCGCAGTTATCAGAAGTGTGTGAATAGTGAATTTCGGAACCTAATCAAGTAAGAGTCAAATAGTAATGGCACCAAATAGAATACAAATAGTAATTGAATACTGTTTGAATAGTAAGTAGACCATTTTCAAAACAGCCTTAGAACAGAACATTTTATTTGAAACAAATAGTCACAAACTTTCGACAAAGGCCATTACAGTCAGTTTGAATCTACTCAAAATACCACAATTACGAAAACTAAGGTAATCTCGTATGCAGCAGGAACTAGAATATTCGTAACATTTTGTAATTGTAGGTTCAACTACGGCATTGACTAGCGTTATCAACGTGAGACTTTGTCACCTCACTTTAAATAAAATTGGGACACAAAAACAAAACAATTTACAACCAAACATTGCAGATACAACTAAATATGTAACGGAGCAGATCAACCCGTCATCACAACATGGCCTGCGCACTAAAAGCGGATAACAATGGGCGTTGAAATTTACATCTGCAAGAACAATTTACGCAAACGCAAAACTTGTATCTGTTGCTAGTCGTGAAGCTGCAAGCACTCGTAGTTCCCACCTTTGGTTATTACAAGACGAAGACAGGAGCTGATAAATGCGATACAGCTAAAGTGCAGTAAAAATTGAGCAAGAATGGAGCTTTCAGAAGCGCATTCATTCGACAATCAATATAGTGTAGGTAGTCTTGCAAAAGCTTGGGCTGCGTACAGGTCACATTAGGGATTGAAAGAATGACTTGTAGCTGTTTCGTTGTTTTGGGGTTCTCCCGCCAGTGCCGATTATTAAAAGAATATTTGTTACTTAGAATATGTGCAATTCGATTCGACTTAGGAACCGAATACAGTGCTGTTTGATTCATTATCCAAAATTTTCGAATAATCGAACATCCCTAGCAATTATCCCTGAAAGCTACACATATGAAGTACTAAGGAAAGGTTCATGTGCTACTGCAAGACTTGGGTCACGTTACGTCGCTTCCTTCTTTCCTACTAACTGTGCTTTGCTTTTTTGTTTAGCACAAGAAGGCTTCTGTGGAAGAAGTTGGCTGAGGCCATCAATACGGAGTTCTTGTGCAACGTGACTGCCACACAAGTGGAAAACAAATGGAAGTCGCTGGACAGAGCATATAAAAAGTCAAAAAAAGACAACAATTCTTCAGGTCACCACCGTGTGAACTGTGAATATGAAGAGTAAGTTACGATTGTGTCTTCATATCTTCAGTGATTCTCATAGTGTCTATTACAGAGAGCTGGCAGAAGTCTTGGAAAAAGAACATAGTGTAAATCCAAGGCTGCTCTTGGAGCCTGGAAAAACAATCCTGCCTAGTGCAAGTCCAGAGTAAGTAAAAATTACTTAATTTGTGCTGTAGCCTGGAAATGACATGGCACCTGTACAATTACTTTCAACAGCACCAGCATCACTGAAGCACCTCAAGATGCAGCAGTCCCAGTCGAGTGCAACACAGCATCCAAAGTTCGGAGCAGCACAACGCCAAAAAGGAAGCGCCAGAGTAGGTCCCAAGTCACGCCGCTCTTGGAGGCATTAGAAAAAATGCAAGCTTCGAGAGCTAAGCAAGAGGAGGCAGCAGTGAAACAACTGGAGGAAAGAAAAAAATGGGAAGAGGCAAAGGCAAAGCGGCATGATGAGCGCATGCAGCGATTCGATCGGTTGATCGACGTACTCTCAAATAAGGACGGGTTATAATATGGGCAATAAACTTTTATAACACTAGCAGTGTCTACTCCATCTAATTTGTTAAAAAAAAACATTGCTTCTAGACGCGGCACCCCACTTCGCAAAACATTTGCACACTGAATAAATCGCGAAGCAAAGATGAACTTCTAGCACTGTTCCTTTGCAATGAACTCTCGCAGAGACTGACTGTAGCCTGGCAGACTGCAATCAAAATCTCCTTCACTTTCATCATTGCCCACATCTTCTTCTTGGGGAAGCGTTGCAAGTTCCTCAAGGAAGTCCCTTTCATCGTTGCACATGTTGTGTAGCACACACGCAGCCATAACTATATAGCAGCACTGTTGCACACTTTTTGCATCAACAAGGTAGAGCCTCCTAAAACGCTGTTTAAGCAGGCCGAAGGTGTTCTCAATAAGCACTCGTTGTTGACTGTGTCGTTTATTGAAGCTCTTTTTCCACGTAGGAAAAGAACTTCCATTGTCCTTGAATGGGGTCATGAGCCATGGCATCAGTGGATATGCACTGTCACCCAGTATATAATTGTCTTCACATTCCTGAATTGCGCGTGCAAAGAAGGGGCTCTCCCTCAGGACACGGGCGTCGTGAACCGAACCTGGAAACCCAATAAACACGTTCAGCAACTTGTTCCTGTCGTCGCAGATTCCTTGCAGGATTATCGAAGGCCACTTTTTCCGGTTGAAGTAAGACTGCGTAGATTCGCTTGGAGTGAGTATCCCGATGTGTGATCCATCGATACAGCCGATGGTGTTTCTTGGGCCCTTGCCTTTACTTTTGGCGAGGAAGCCGTTCTTTATGCGGGTCACTTCCGCGCTACTAGGCCAGCAAATTATCTCATCGCTAATAGCGTGTAAGAAGTGAACGACCCGTGTCACACAAACATGAACAGACGACTCGGTAACATCGAATTTGTCGCCTATGGCGTACATAGATATTTGTGAGCCTAGGTACACAAGCGCTATGAGGCATGTTTTTTCGGCACTGATTTGTTGGCGGCCTTGCACTGCCCTTGGGTAGAAGGCTGAAGTCTTGAACTTGGCCCTGAAACTATCAAAAGTCTCCCTGGACAGCCTGAAGAGGCGCTTGAATTCATACTCATGGTACCTGCCGATAATGCTTTCGTACCCGGGTACACGGTTGGCATCGTCGCGCACCAACGCGCACGCGACCAAGATGCACGCATCGTCGTACTCATCGTCGCAGTCACTGCAAACGGCACCGCTGACGGAATCGTCGTCGCTGCTCGAGTCCAGCAATTCCATCGCAGTCACAAGAAGTGCCATCACGGCCGTGTATTGATCGGACAAGGCGGCGGAGGCGGCTATTTTAGGCTTACACTACAAGGTGTTCTCCGGCCTGCACTCACGTCAACTCACGCCTTCGTTTTGGCTGTAGCCGTCGCGCGCTAGTGTCGGCTAGTGCCGAGGCGTGGTTGAGGCTGCACCTGCACTTGCTCGACCGGCGCTGC